CATGCTGTTTACGTCACAACTGGTTGTTTGGCATGATCAGGGATTTGTTACACACAGGCCTTCTTATGAGGATATGCTATCCTGTAGTAGTAGTAGTGTGTATCATCCTTGCCCTTACCTAGCTTAGGGCGGGTATTATGAAACTGCTTTGACAGTTTACTTGAAGTTAACTTCTGAAAATACATGTAATTCAAAAAGTTAACTTCAAGTTAACTGTCAAAGCAGTTTTATAATACCCGCCCTTAATGATTTGGAGATTTTGTTTTCAAGGTTCGGGTAAAATTGGGTATTTTATGAGATTGGAAAGGGTAATGAGAATTCTCGGTCCGGCAACTCTGCTTATGAGGATAAGCCATCCTGGGCTGGGACCCTGTAACGGATAGAGATCGTTATCCTATCGCTATGGCACTTGCTGTCTTCTTCTCTCTTTTCGAAATCAATAGGGAGGGAACGTCAATAGAGATAGAGAAAATATATCTATTCGTTACAGAGTCCCAGTCCTGTAATAGTAGTGAGTGTGTATCATCCTTGGATGGAATCAGCGTTTCTAAAACGGCCTCTTGACAATCTTGACACGTGACGTGACATACATAATTCTTTTCTAAAAAGTTGGGCGCTTGCTCTTTGCTATGCCACGAGTTATGACATGGCTCTCGTGCTGGGACGAATTTAATTTAATTTTTTCGGTTAATAAATACCAAAAATGCCCACAAAATGCTCATATCTTGCCAATGCTCCCATTTTTACCCCCAGATCTATCAAATGCTCACAAATGTGAGCAAATGCTCACACATTGGTAACACTGAAAATACGTCTTAATCCGAGCCAATCCGAGGTCATCGCTTGCGAAACTAATAACTTGGGTGTGCGCTGACATGAAACAAAGTTTCACGAAATTTGCTTCAGTTTACAAGTATCATGAAACTTATTTCTCCAGTGTGTCACCCGCCTTACATTCAAATGAGGCGACGCACACTGGCGAAATAGTTTCTGCTCTCTTGTTTAAGAAATGCCAGTGTGCGCCGCCTCATTTGATATACAGGGTGTCCCACGGTGGATGGCGTATTAGACGTTTATGGAGAACTAAAAAGCGGATCATTTTGAAAATTTGGCAACCTGGATAAATGACCGTGATCTACACTTTAAAAATATTTTTGTTTATGCGGTGTTGCCGCTTCTACTCTAAACCAGTGGCAACATCGCTATTTTAAATGAAACACTCCGTATTTAATTGCATATTTGGATTCTTCATAAAATTCTGAGTAGATTTCATGTGATATACCCTATACCTAAGTTCAACTGTTTTGGAAATATTGACAGTTGAAAATTGACTTTTTGCAACTTTGACAGGCTGTAAAACCTGAACGGTTAATTTTAGAGAAAAATCGATTTTACATTCCTATCTTAGATTTTTATAAACTATCATTTGACACCAATTTTGAATTTAATCCATGATTAAAAATTCCAATTAAATTTAATCTCCGGTTAAATTCAAAGTTGGTGTCAAATGATAGTTTACGAAAATCTAAGATAGGAATGTAAAATCGGTTTTCCTCTGAAATTAACCGTTTAGGTTTTACAGCCTGTCAAAGTTGCAAAAAGTCAATTTTCAACTGTCAATATTTCCAAAACAGTTGAACTTAGGTATAGGGTATATCACATAAAATCTGCTCACAATTTTACGTAGAATCCAAATATGCAATCACATACAGGGTGTTTCATTTAAAATAGCGATGTTGCCCCTGGCTTAGAGTAGAAGCGGCAACACCGCATAAACAAAAATATTTTTAAAGTGTAGATTATGGTCGTTTATCCCGGTTGCCAAATTTTCAAAATGATCCGCTTTTTAGTTCTCTATAAACGTCTAATACGCCATCCACCGTGGGACACCCTGTATGTGTCGTATGATAACGAAACAAATTTCCTGTTTCTTCAAAAAGTTTCATGAGACTTATTTCTCCAGTGTGTCATCCCTCTTAATGATTCGGGATTCGAGAGACCTTCATTTTTCAGTTGAATGTGGTTAATGTCACTTAAAATTAAGAATATTAATTTTCCAAATATTGAGGGATAATCGCTTTGCATCAAACCATTCATTCAACGCAAATACATCTTCCTGAATACTCCAAGAAAGCCTGTCAACTTTCTGGTCGTGCAATAGAATTGTCTGATCATCCCCAAACATTGTAAATCTTCCCCTTATTGGAAGAAGAGATATATCATTGATATAAAAACCAAGAACAAGAGTGGTTCAAGAATTGAGCCCTGAGGCACGCTAATACAGATTCCGCTGAAGAGCTTTCCCCATTGAAAACAACTAACTAAGTCCTACCATCAAATATGATCCCGACCAGTCAAAGCTAAACCTCTTGTACTATATATACTAAGTTTACCTAGTAGTATTCCATTATCTACACAATCAAATGCCTTGGATAGATCACAGAACACCTTCGAAGCCTTTTCTCCTGAGTTCGAGCGAGTGTATAGAGACGCTCCAAAAAGTTTAAAAAGTTACATCAATTGTGCTTTTCTCCGCTTGAAATCCGAATCGGCTATAGAGGAGAGTAATATAGGCTATTTTTTATCCCGAAAAAAAAAGTTCGGTTGCGTAAAACTCTGATACACTGGAACGCCTATAAACAGCCCGGGGCGCTCTAGAGCAGCCCTGGAGTGCTTGAAATGTGTCACTGAACTCACTGGCAAGCGACTCTGATATCGGATTAAAAAAAAAAAAATTAAATAGAAAATCAACAACAAAATTTGAAAAGAAGTGTATTATTTCAAAATGTATTTACACGCTGGCAACGCAGCGGGTCATTAGAGTATTTTGTAATAATTAATTAACATTTCATTTTGATTATAGAACTTTTTCATATATTGCATGGATCTTAAGCAGCCGATGTTTCAGACCCCTTGCATACCAGGGATTGAGTGATTGAGCCTCTTATGCTTTATCTTGAAAATAGGAAAAAAAAGTTTTTGCTTAAAAGTAAATGAAAGTGCTCCAAAGAGTCTTCCGTTGAAAATATTCTATTCCAGTCCGTTTGATTGCATATAGCAACCTAAACTTCTCAAAATTTTTCTTAGTGAAAAGTCTGCCTTTGTTAAAGATTTTTCTTGGTTTAGTGGAATTGACTAGAAATGAACAGAATATTGCTTCATGATCAGACAATCCAGCATCAATTGTCAAACACAGAGTTTCCATCTGACTAAATGATGAGCAGACATAATCTATTAACGTAGGCGTAGTAGGGGTTATCACTATCAACAATTCCTAGGTATTATGAGATTCACAGTACATATTTCCATTTGACAGAGTCTTCTCTACATATTTAAATTAGATCCCCAAGAGAAGGAGGACTCTTACAAGTAAAACTACTGCTACTAGTTATACCATCATTATGAAAATTATTTCATATGGAATATGGATTAGAGAAAAGTTCTCGTTTGTTTCGGTAATACTCTTCGCCATGATTATCAAGCTTATCCTATTTAGATAAGAAGAATTACGCACAAAACAAGATAGTGAGAAATTTGTTCGAAATTATAACTCTAATGTTGTTATTTGGTTATACAATTTAAGGAAATGTCATAAATTTCTTTGTTGAAAGAAGAAAAAGTTTGTGACAAGCCATTTATTGGGGTGGAACATATTATCAAATTTGTAAAGAAGCACTTAGATAACAGCGTTAAAAACTTTTTTTGAACACCTAATTCCTGGACCTACCAGAACCACAACATAATCACTGTTGGTGAAGTCTTTTATACACATAGCAATCAATGTCTTTCACCATGATGTCAAACTTAACACCCGGCTTATAACCCATTGGAAATGTCCAAATTAGAATGTCCCTCAGTTTGTAAAACTACTAATTTCCTAATATTAATTTTCAGTTTAAGTATATGCTGATCCCACTTGAGGTTCCTATCCACTATGTTCCTAAGTATTTTATACAATCAACCTCAGTATCTCACTGTTAAAATTATCGACAATAATGCTGTAATACTCTGGTCTGCTTGTATTAGTGATGGAAAAAGCAATTATTTTTGTTTTGAAAATCGTAGCTGACACATTTTCCAGAATTTGTAAATCAGTCGGTGGAAATACTCAGTATCACCTTATGCCATCTTGCATCTTGAGGTAACGTAAATGTCGCATTGGAGATCGAATCAAGAAATCTGCCCTATTCTATTGAAGGGATCGCAAAAATTACAGCTTTATGTGCAGAAAAATTAGGCCCCAATTTAATAAACCACAAGGAAAATTTATCAATGCAACTCAACCATTTGAAAGATTCCATTTCACGGATTTGCTAACAATAATTGAATGAATTTTCCAGATTTCCTTTTGATTATGCTTGTTCTGGTGCTGTTATTGTCTTATTGATTATGTTTAGATAAAATTTTCTCGCTAGCTATTTGGAATGCCATATTGCATCAATATCCATATCGATTAACCCTAAATCAACACACTATTCACAAAGGAGGAAGTGGAAACAGTTCCTCTGATGACTATAGACCGATTTCGGTATTGTCCACATTGTTGGAGCTTTAGTTATAATTTTTCTCTATAATATACAAGTTGAAGCGAGGTGTAAAAACTCTATTCCCAGAACTCCTAGAGCTAAAATTTGAATTGGATGAATATAAATCATTGAACTTTGACAGTTCTAGAGTTGAAATTGAGCTAAAGCGGCTTGAAGCACAGATTATTAACTTTGCGTATTGCAGTTTTGAAATTGAACTAGAATGGCGTAAAATCCTATTCCTGGAACTCCTAGAGCTACAGCTTCTTGGTGAGCTCCTACTTGCTCATGTTTTCGTCCAGCTTTCCTTTAGAATTTTCTCCAGGTTCGTAATTTCTTTGAGAACACGACAAAAGAAAACTAGACGGGGGAAATGTTATATAACTCTTTGTAGATTATGAATTACCTTTACTTGTTTGTCATTTTATAATTATTGATCAAAAACTTTTACATTACAATCAACTTAATTTTCAGGGTGAAAAAATCAAGACGGGATTCGCCAGCTACGAATTCGTCCCATTGGGCCATGTTTGGCTGGAAGGCGACAACTCGAGCAACTCAACAGACAGTCGAAGCTACGGCCCCGTACCCATCGGCCTGATAAGAAGCAAGGCCGTCTGCAAAATTTGGCCCCCCAAACACGTGACCATGTTAAGCGGAACTTAATTTATTATAATAATTATGGTTTATTTATTACATAAAGAAAATCTATTGCGGTACCGTAAACCCTTTCTAATATTTCCTTAATTACGTCGATAATCTCTTGCCGTTCCAGGCTTGGCAGTCTTTCCAGTGATTTGCAAAGTTCTTCTTTATTCAAATCCAAGCCTTCGGTTGATTGTTTGACTATTGAAGCTGGAAAAAAAATCAAATAACTTATAAAGTTGTTTTTAGGTTTCTACAAACCAATTTCATCCAAGGCAGATTTGCTCGATATTACTTCCAAAGGTAAATTTTCTATTAACTTTTCCAAAATTGTCGGTATTAAATAATGAGGCTCGTGGCATAAAACCTCACTGACTGTTTCTTCTAAAATGTCTTTTACAAATGACATTAGGCTGTCTTCGCCCTAAAATAACATTGTTTGTTAACAGAGAAAAAAATCATTAATACAAGGTACTTCTGGCTCTTGTATGTCCATTAGTTTTTCAGCAACAGCTTCAACACTGCTAAGCTGCTCAACACTTAATTCAATTGACAAATTTTTGATTATTTCTTCAACAATTTCTCGTGCGCTGATGCATTTAAAAATGTTACTTAAAATTGCAGTGACCATGATTGTTTTTTGGTTTTCATCAACATTTTTAAGTAGATCGTCAATTAGTTCATTGATCAAATCTTCGCTTTCCATTGAATAACTAAATTATTTTTTGAATTAAAATATGTATAACACAATTATTTTTATACAACTTACTATCCTGGTATTGTAATGTCTTTTATTATAGGACCCTTTTCTTCTTCTTCCTTGGATCCTTCTTTTTCTTCAAAAAATACTTCATCTTCGATCACTAGTTTTTCGTAATCAGTCCATTTGAGGGGTTCAGATTTTGACGATGACATTTTTTCGTACTCAGCGCGTCTTTCTTTTCTTTTAGTTACTTCTTGGGCCATGCCTACAATTATTTGAAAAAATGATTTTACTGCCATATTATCACAGGTGGACTGTTTTGCCTTTGGTTTTCAGCAATTTGATTTCCTCTTTTAGATCTAGTATGATTTTATTTTGGTCGTCGATGATGTTCTGGAGCTTTTGTAGATCTGTAATTGCCAAAAAAAGATTTTTTTTTACTTTCCAAATTTTGAAAATTTCGAATTTTGATGTTTCTGAAAAAGATTTTCATTAGTGAAATGAAACTCGTCATTAAAAGCATTAGAAAGGAACCAGAAAGGGAAATATTTTAGATTCCAATAATAATAGAGAAAATAGGAGAAATGGAAAGTTATATAACATTATTACAAGTGTAATGTAATATCACCTAATTTGAAAAAAATTAGGTTGATGATGGTTTCTGGCTTCTGGGAAACGGAACATCGTAGTGACGTCAGATATAAATAAAATAGGCCAAAATCGAAAAAATAACCTTTTTCAAAAAAAAGGACATCAGAAAAAGAAAGCCCAAACCAAATATGAGGTACTTACTCAAATTGCCCAACTTTTCCCTAATCTAACCATTATTAGAGAGATAGCGCGTATGGACGGTAATAACGTCAGGAGTTATTTTTTTAAAATAAAGCGGTATCATACTTTCAAATTAGAGTTATCGGATAACAGTTTAACGTAAAATTTGCCTGTTCGCATCCGTTATTTTATAACCGTAGCCTAACTTGTACCTTGTTGTGATCGGGGCCGTAGCGATATGACTACCTCTAGGGGGGGAGACTGAGATCCGGCGCCCCCTAAGCTCCGCAAAACCAGTTGAATTCAAAGCCGAAAAATAGTTATTTATTATACAAAGGAAAAAAAGTACTAGATTTTAGCGCGAGGTGTGGTTTGTCTAGACAACACAGCAAGCGCTAAAATCTTACTTTTTTTCCGTATATAAGTACACTATTTTTTCTGTGACGGGAAAATCTCATCATTTTCCATCTATACATCTTTTTTTTTTCTGTGACCTTACTTATACTTTTTTCCCTTTGAGAAAAAAAATTTGACTGGTAGGTACCTGTTACTTTTTTCCCGTGGGAAAAAAATCACTTTTTTCCCGTGGGAGAAAAAGTGACATTTTTGCCTCTGTCAACAAGTACAATTTTCCCGTCACAGAATTTTATTTTTTTTTTGCAACTTTGACAGGCTTTAAAACCTAAATGGTTAATTTTAGAGGAAAAAGGATTTTACATTCATTTCTTAGATTTTCATAAATTTAAATTATCATTTGATACCAACTTTGAATTTAACCCATGATTGAAAATTCCTTACAGCCGGGCAAAGTTGCAAAAAAGTCAGTTTTCAACTATGTATTAATATTTCCAAAACAGTTGAACTTAGGTCTAGGATTGGGTATATAGGCTAGTAAAACTAGGTGGGCAACCCTAAACAAATTCGCTACAAGCTGATTTTTGCGCCATTGTGTTCCTTTTAGTGTTTCCTATAAAGGGTTAAAAATCCCAAAGAATCCGATAGGAGACGCAACCCCAAAACCACCCCCAGAGGTGCATTTTTTAGGTTTGTACAAGGCACGTTTTTTGTAGAGTACAAAATTTCGAATCAAATGGTATACACATTTGTATTATTTAAATAAGTTTTAGTGTTGATACAGGCCTTAGAATTCAATTTTGAATAATTCCTTCCTCATGATTGGTTTAGTTTGACGTTTTAAAATTCAATGTTTGAATATTTCCGATTCCTAATTGGCTTAAAAATTCAATTTTTCAATTTTTCCGGCTTCTGATTGGCCTAAAAATTCAATATTTGTAAATTCCCGGCTCTTGATTTGCTTTGAAATTCAATTTTCAAATATTCCCGGCTTTTAATTGGCTTAATTTGACGTTTTAAAATTCCATGTTCCAATATTTCCGGTTGGCGATTGGCTTAAAAATCCATTTTTTCAATTTTCCCGGATTCTGATCATGCCTGGATTAAGGGGGGGGCTAAAGAGGCTGCAGCCCCGGGCTCCGCGATCCAGTAGGGCCCCGCAGGGGCCCTACTTTTGAAAAATGAACGCACTATACCACCTGGGAACAAGTTTTAAACCACCTGGGAACAAGTTTTAAACTTTGCTAAAGGAAGTGCAGATAAAGTGGGAGATTCTGAAGGAAATTTCTGAAAACTCGGGGAATTACAGGGAAGTTCAAATAGTAAAAGATTTTTTTTAAAAATACTCAAACCCCAAAACAAGAAATACCAAATCACAAAGAACTTTCTAATTCATAGAAATTTGATTAACCGTCTATATGAAAGAATGAAAGGAAGTACCTACAGGGAAGTTTAGAAAAATTTGAAAAATTTTACAGGAAATTATCAAGAAATTCCGAGGAAGTTGAAGAAATGACAAGAAACATCAAGCTATTTTAGTAATTACTACTACTATAGGTTTTTGTATTTCACTTTAATGAATTATGAAGATTTCAAGAGGAAAACCACCTGAGAATAAGTTTTTAACTTTGCTAAAGGAATTGCAGAGAAAGTGGGGGAATTTCGAAGGAAGTTTCTGAAAATTCGACGAAGTACTAGGAAGTTCAAATAGTGAAAGTTTTTTTTTAAAATACTCAAACCCCAAAACAAGAAATACCAAATCACGAATTTTCTAATTCATAAATTTGATTAACCGTTTATATGAAAGAACGAAAAGAAGTACAGGGAAGTTTAGAGAAATTTGAAGAATTTTATCACTTGGAACACATTTTTTTCCAGAATTTTTGGTGTCAGACGAAACTAGCTGTTTATGCAACAAGTGTGTAAAGTGAACCTTTTTTTCACAAATGTGAATTTTGACGACTCATGACATAACATGACTGAAAAAAGGTGCTTTACACACGTACTGCATGTAATATTTTTTCCACAACCAATAACATAATACATATGTGTAAAAAAATAAATTTAGACAAATACTTTACGTACTAGTGCTCAAAGTATTTGCACTGCGTGAAGTAATTTACAGAAAAATACTAAATTGACGACAGTGTTGACATCTGTCATTGACATTACCTTACGCACTAGGGTATGAAGTGAATTACTTTAAGCACTAGTGCATGAACTGAAATTTTACGTCTTCTGAAATCTGAATAGTGCGTAAAGTGAGTACTTCAATCATGGTAGTAGAAAAAAGATATTTTGACTTACGTTTGTAAAACATGTAGGTATAGCAGTGTCTTCTGTTATATCAGGAATATAGTTTTTTTATATATATTTTTTGGCACCCAATTTATAAAGGGACTACAGGGCCCCCTGAAACTTCACTAGCCCCGTGCCCCATGAAAGCTCAATCCGGCCATGATTCTGATTTTCTCAAAAATTCAATATTTCCGATTCCTAATTGGATCAAAAATTAAATTTTTCAATTTTCCCGGCTTTTGATTGGTTATAGCAATAAATATTCCGAATTGTGAATAGGCACATGTCACTAGATAAGACCAATACAAATTTAAATCTTACTTTTTTATATTTTTATACTCTTATATATGGGTGAGGCCCAATAAGTAGTGGTGATAAAAAGTTATGTTTTTTTAAATGACTCTTCCTGTATATTATGACATTTCTGAATTCTATGGAAAATTCTAGACATTTCATGTACAATGACATATACCTATCTTCAACTGTTTCGAAAATATTGACAGTTTAAAATTGACTCTTTTGCATCTTTGACAGACTGTAAAACCTAAACGGTTGATTTTACGGCAGATATTACATTCCTATATTAGATTTTCATAAGCTATCATTTGACACCAACTTTGAATTTAACCGGAGATTAATAATTTTAGCGGAATTTTCAATCATGGACTTAATTCAAAGTTGGATTCAAAGGATAGTTTATGAAAAACTGAGATAAGAATGTAGGTAGAGTCCGTTTCACCAGGGTTCGTACTTGACCTTGAAACTTGAAAAAAGGGTTGTATATTAATTCATATGACACATTCAATTTTTTTTGACAAATTGAAATTAATGACTTTTGATTTAAGAACCGACGAACGTTTTTGACGTTATTGATTTGTTTCAGTCAATTTTTATTTGTTAAACAAGGAAGCCAAATGCTGGTGGCAAATACAAACCCTGATGAAAGAAACTTTATGATTGGTTTTGCTGTAAAATTAACCGTTCAGGTTTTACAGCCTGTCA